CTTTGTCTCCCAGATATTTCTCTTCCCTACCTCCTGCCCAACTAACTTCAGGGTAGGTTCTGGGGACACAAGGCCCTGGGCTAGGGGTCAAGGAGTGCAGACTTGGAGACCTGGTTGCATGTTTTTATTTAGCAGAAAAGGGGATCCATCGAAGGGGTGGCTTGTGGGATGATGGCCGAGCATCACTGCACCTTCAGAAGCATCTTCCAGATCTTGCCCAGTCATGGTTATTGACGAGCAGCCAGAGAGTACCTTGGGCAATGATGACAGGAAGAACAGGAGGAGACACAGGAGGCACCTGAGAAGGACAAGAGATTCAGGATTAGGGCAGGCAGGAATAAAGGCAGCCCCAAGACAAATAGCCCACCCTTCCCCGGCCTCCCGTTAGCTCCCTGTCAAGCCATACTCACTGCCCATTCAGTCATCAATGCATTCTTCTGTAGGGAGAAAGAACATCGGACCGGTCAGTGTGCGTGTGTGTGTGTGTGTGTGTGTGTGTTGTGTAGGATCTGTGGCTGCCAGGACCCATAACTGCCCCCTGGCTGCCTGATGTCCAGCCAAGGCCAGGGGGCATGGATCTAGGGCTTCCTTGACTTCAGGGCCTGGGGATGGGATGCCCAGCGTAGCTGGGCCTCACAGAAGCTTGGAACGAAGGTGTCCGACCTGTTTAACTACACAGTCGCGCAGCCACTCAGCCACTGCCCCTGAGTGGCCTGGCTGGAATGTCTTCCCCAGCCAGAAATGAAGGAGAAATTCCTTGTTCGAAATGAGGAAGACCTAGAGGAAAGGGGAAGTAGGCAGGATAGCAAGACAGGATGTATGGACAGGAGGTGGCCCTGCACAGAAGGCCCAGTGCATGGAGAGGAGCTGGTCCAGGAAACCGAGAACCAAGGAATCAGGCGGAGGCAGCCCAGGGCAGTAAGACTGGGGAAATGTAAGCCTGGGCCTGAAATCGTCCTCTGGACAGTCTTTGGCTAAACTGTCAGGGAACCGCTTAAGGCCAGAATCTCTGGAGAACGACAGACCCCTGACTGGTCATTACCACCCCTCCAGGGACTGGAGCCGGGGATGGACTCTCCTGTGCGCTGTCCCTCATGGGGCATCCTCAGGCCTGGGGATCACACGACTCCTGCTCTCCCCAGCTGGTCATTACCGATGGGAACAAAGAAGGCGATGTTGTCCTCAGTGAAGTCCACAGACTTGGAAAATTTCACGAAGCGCTCCTTCAGTTTGTGGCTCAGCTTCTTGGTTCTCCCTGTGGTCAAGATGGGTGGTGAGTGGCCTAGAGAAAGACGCTTTCTAATCTTTTAACTTTTATGATACAGGTCAGGCTGACCCTAACCCCATAATCCTGCCTCTCCTGCTGAGTGCTGAGTTGAGCGGCAAGCACTGCCGTGACTGGCTTCCTCTGTAAATACTTCTGATGAGGGAGTGAGCCCTCGGCCCCCTTTCCAATGGAAGGACTCTGGGAAATCTTCCTCCTTGGGGGCGGGGCTCCAACGGAGGAAGCATCTAACGTCCTGGGGTATAGGGGACCCCTCCCTATGTGTTTCCAGCAGCCAGGTCCCTTAGAGGGTGGAGTGAGGACTCACCATAGAGGGTGGCCTGGAAGTGCCACTTGAATCTTACGTTCTTCTCCACATAGACCATGGCGAACTGTTTGTAGTTGGTGGCTGCCACCCTCATGACGTAGCTCAGTATTCCACCTGTCCCTGCAGCGTAGATGGTGAAGTCATTCTTGCCCCGGCTAGGACGAAGGGACTGTCCCCATCTTCCCTGGCCAGTGAACCTGGGTGTCTCCCCCAGGAGGGCATCTAGGAGGCGAGTCCGGGGGGCCTGTGTCCTTCCGCGGGGCCTCTGCCACCTGAGTCCCACCGCCCTCAGGACTCACTTCTGAAACTGTCGAAAGTGAACTGGCCGGGCTGCACATTTTGGACAAGAGTTCTCGTAGACTGTTCGCAGACTTCATTCCTGTGTGAGTGAGAAACGGGCGGGACTGAGCAGGGAGTTGTCACAGCTTGGTCCCCCTGGGCTTGTGGAAGTGCGGCCAAGGCTGCAGCAGGATTCTGAGAGCCTAGTCCAGCCGAGCCCATGCCAGCTTGTGTGCTGCCGTGGCTGGGAACCCGCGTGGCCCAGCCTACTGCCCTGAGTCTTCCCCACTCAGCCTCTGCCTCGTCTGTTCTGGGGGCTTCTTGAGCCTCCCTCCGGGTCTCACTCTTCCCTCTTTTGCCTTCGCCCAGGAGGAGTGGGGGTCAAGTCTGTTTCCCCCAGAGCCCCGGCAATGTGCCCTGGTCTTACTTCCTGCTTCTCTTTCCCACCTCTGGCGATTCACTGTGAGCTTCAGGGCTCCACTCCACGCACCGCCCAACCCTGGAGCCAAATCCTGATCTTTTCACGAGTGCACCCACCCTGCACCCCACAGACAAGCCCCTCAGTCCTCCCTTGATGTGACCCTCAGTCCTCACACACTAGGCCCCCAATCCACTCAGTCTCGAGGCAGAATTCAATGCAAGTAGAAGTTCCTGGGCTCCCAGTCCCAGCTCTCACTGCCCCAGCTCTGCCATCTCCTGACCAGAAGTGCTCAGCCACATGTTTGCATTTTTTCTCTACTCCTTTTCTGCATCTGCGCCCAGATTCCAGGCCTTGCAGGAGCTGAAGGTGAGGCCCTGACTTGGGTAAGACGCCCTGCAAGGGGCTTGTGAATGGCCAGCTCCTTATGGGCCCCTGATCCAGTTGTCCCTGTTGATCCCTGGACACTCTGTGGCCTCCTAATGTGACGCTCTCTGACTCAGAGTCCACCGGCTCTTGCTTATATCTCTTGTTTTGTTGGTGTGGTGGTTATGGTGTGTACTGAACCCATTGCACTTAGCTATGACACCTGCCCTTTAATTTTTTTTATTTGCAGATGGCTCTCTCCAAGTTGCCCATGGTTGCTTCCAATCCTAGGTCTTCCAGCCTTAGTCTCTGGACCTGAGCATCCTAGGATTACTGGGAGGTTGCCTTGTTTAGAGTAATTTCCCTCCAAACATTAGATGGTAGCCTCAGTTGGGATGCTACGTAAATGCAGGTCGCTCCTCCCTCCCTGGGACTCCCTACTCTCTGGCTTGTTCCTACTGTGTGTCTTTGCTGTAATGTTCCTGACAGGTTGATGGGAGGGAGGGAGGCAGGTTGATTGGGAAATGAGTGATGAGATGAGGGACAGTGTCCCCTCACTTTGGTCGCTCCTTAACTGTGACATCAGCCTGCCTTTCAGACCCCCAGGAGGTAGTGCTCACCTGAGCATCGTGGTGTTCACGTTGAAGCTGTGGTCATCTTTCAGCTCGTAGTTGACACTGTACATTGTTAACTGCCTTCCGTTTCCATTCCGAATTGGGCTGTCTGCCACACCCAAGGCGTACCACCTCCCCTGGAACTGCAAGGGGCTCATGAAAGTCAGAACCCAGAGATGTCCCCAGAAGCTCCCTTCCATGCTGTCCTTCTGGTACCTCTGGACAGCCCTCTTGGCAGCTGGGTGCAGGGATGGGCCCGCAGTGAGAACTGCACGTGAACTTGGGCCTTCTAATGATGTACTCTGGGTTTCTAGGTAGTCCTGAACTTTTGTGATGACTTGGCTGTGAGCCAGTGGAATGTGCACCTTGCAGAGCCTCAATTTTCCTCACTTTGGAGAGGGAGTTAAGACATCCCCTCCTGTCATGACCTGGGCCTTGTTTCTCTGAGCTCTGCTCCTCTCACCCAATACTGCCTCTGAGTCCTTTGGCCTCTCCTCCCCCGTCCTCCCCTTGTCCTTGTGCCACAGACTCATCTTTCCCTAGATCTCACCTTGTCATCCTGGAAGTCTGGCTGCAAGGGCACCTTGTTCAGAAGTGGGGTCTTGATCATAGTTGGAGCATAGTCCTGGGACTTTGTCTGCTGGGGCCCCAGCAAGAGAAGACCCAGACACAGGAGATACAAGATCATGGCTTGAGAGAAGCTGCTGATCCTGAGAGGTGTGAAAGGAGGAAGGTGAAGGCTGAGGCAGCCAACCGGGAGGAACTATGTAAAGGACACCCCTCTGCAGCGCCCTCTACTGTTGGCTGCTCTATCCTTTGCTACATCCAGGAAGGATGACTCAATCGCCATAAACTCCTTCAGAAACATGTGGCAAGATGCTTGCATCTTGTACCCCTCTGGTCAGGATTATGCAAGGTGGAGACAGGAGAAAGAGATAGACGAAAAGAGGGACACTCCCAGAGCTCCAGGGTCACAGGGACAATGCTCATTCTGAGTGCTTGCTGTGCCTCTTCCCTGCATCTGATTGTCTCTTGGGTCAGAAGCTTGGGTCTGGAGAGACTGCCGTCTCTGTCCCTGTGAACTCAGCTTGAGACTGAGGTGAGGTCCCCTGGCCATGCCCACAAAGAACAAAGAATGGCCAGGCGTGGTGGTGCAAGCTTGTGATGTCAGCACTTAGGAGTCTGAGCCAAGAGGATTACTGTACATTTGCTGTATGTACATTTGAGGCCAGCCTGGGTTACATACTGAATTGAAGGCAGTCCTCAATGATAGACTGAGAACTTTTCTGAAGAATCCAAAGTAGTAGTTGTAGAAGAAGCAGAAGGACACGGGAGGAAGAGGAAGCAGAGCAGTAGTAGTAGTAGTAATAATAATAATGATCATATTAATGATAATGAGTGTTGTAGCAATAGTGCAGAGTGATCTGCCACTGTAACAGACCCAGTGTGGCTTCCTTGTTCTTGTAATGATAACAGAAGTCTGGAGTAGATAACAGTTGACGTTCTTGACTGGGAAGATCAGAATTCTGCTCTGAGCCTAGCTCCTGGCCCTCACAGAAGCCCCAGGATATGCCCTTGAACCTAGAGATGCCTTGAGTGCCTCTCTCTTGTACATTTCCAGCCAGTTTGCAGGAGTATACAGGACAGAAGGGACCCTCAGGGACTTTGTCACTCCTGTGAGCCCATCAGACAGAGGCCTGGAGCCAGGTGTAAGAGTTATGCATGCTGCTGCTTGACACAGCCAAACACTGAGGCTGCGAATGAACTCACAGTGCGACCTGGGCCAAGGCGCCCAGTAGGGCAGGCACCTGCTCAAGGCAAAGCAAACTGCACACTGCTGCTATGTACACCAGGTGCTTTGGGTCATTGAGTATGAAGATTTGACCTCATCCTTGAAAGATCATTCAGATTAATCCTTGACCCCTGGACACATCCTTGGGCCATGGAGCTCAGTGGCTCAGCCTAGGGTCTCAAAAATGTCCCTGACGTGACTAAGTCCAGAATTATCAGAAGGGTAGGCTGTTTCCACACTGGGGGCCCAGCCAGCACCCTGGGGAGGCAGTGCTGTGTCCCGGGTCCTGTGCAGAGTCCCCCTGAGATGGCTCACTCATGAGTGCAGCCACTTCCGGTATGTTAAACGTAGGGCTGGACTGAGGATTCTCTGGCTTTCTATGGGACTAAAAGGGCCTGCAATGGTTCTACCCATCTGCTGCTTGGATCTAGCCTGGGCTTTCAGTGGTGGGCTCTACGGGATGGGACTTGAAAGGGATTCTTGGGCTTTTGAGTGGAGTGTAGCCTCAGCCCTAAAGAGCCCTCAGTGCACCCCCACCCCAACTGTGCTGGATGATGAGAAGGCAGGAAGTGAATCTGAGGCAACCTGGCCACCACAGCCTGCCACCCTCCCAGGCCCCTCTTCTCCCAGCCCTAGTCTCTTCAGCTGCACTACTCTCTATGTGGTTGAAAAGTATCACCCACCATAAGTGACATGTCTCTAATCCTTGTACTCTGGAAAGCTGAGGCAGGAGGACTGAAAGTTAGACTGAAGACTGGATAACTTTGCAAGACTCTGTCTCAAAATAAAAATATAAAAGGAGCACTCACTCTTCCTTAGGGAATAGAAGAAGAGTCCAGATTTGTTTATGAGAAAAATACTGAAGACTTCTTGCTGTGCTGCTCTCATGTTAAAATTGGATGTTACGTGAAATAAACTTAAGAATTACTTTTTTGATTTGAATTAAATTAATGCTTATCTATTTTCTTTGAAGAATAATCAGTTCACTTATAAGAATCAAGATAAATCATGTAAAGATATAAATCTTCAGTGATGAATGTCAATGTATCGTGTACCTAAAATGCAACATAAACTTAATGAATAAAAAAGGAGTAATCAGTTTTTTCAAAAATAGAAAAATAGGTGAATAAATTAAGCCTCAGAATTAATAAGATGTTCCCATAGTTTTCCTATAAAAATGATTTTTATCTTTCATATTTCACAAAGTAAGAAATTCTCTATGACATACGGTATGTATGTTTGATTCCTGTAATTTCAGGAAAGAAAAGATAAAAATGTACATATAATGTAATGTTTCTAGCCTTGTGAAAGAAGCTCAGGTCTGTCTCATTGGCTGTACACTACTAGAATTGAGAGACATTATACTAGATTAAATATCTAGTTCTGGGTCATCTGTCTTTGAATGGTCAGCAGTATTAAATAAACAGTGCAATACAGCAGGCCTTATTCTTAGAAGAAAACTTTTCAGTGGAACTCAGTGCTGTATTAGGAAAAAGGAAAACATTCATGTTGGTAGAAAATTTAGATGATTTAAAAAGTAAGATTTGAAATGAAGGTTTTAAAAAATAAAATTATTGGTACATTTAAGGCATACAGTATAATGACATTCATTATTGAAATATTGCATCTTTACATAATCCATCTTGGTTCTTATTTTTTCCCCATGCCCCTGCCCTCCCTTAAACACCTCCACCCCTCCCTATGTAGAAAGGCTTTGTTTTCATTTTTTCTTTTTCTCATATTAATTCCATTCTCCTCTTTCCCTCCCACTACCCTTCCACCTCCCCTTCCCCTTTTGAACCTTTTCTTCCTATTTCACGTTATCTATTTTACCTTTTATTCCTTGTTTATAGTTTCAGTTTCTCACACTAGAGAAACTATTCAGTATTTACACACGTGTGTCCTATTTATTTCACTTAAGGGAATCACCTCAATGTGCATCCATTTAGCTATAAGTGTCTCTGGTTTATCGTTCTTTATGGCTGAGTAGTACTCCATTTTATTAAAAAAACCCACACATTTCCTTTATCCAGTTTCTGTTGATGGGCA